TTGGGAAGCAACCACCATTGCCAACTCCGATCCCGTGGCAGCTCCTTTGCCAATCCAACTTCCTCAAGTGTGAGCATTGATCGAGCCTGATAAAACGAAGGTAGGGGATCACTCTGCCGAATTAACGTCCCTACACCGCAATATGCACTTGTGAGACCTAAAACAAGTTGAATGACGAGGTGGCTCTCCGACACCTGTGCTCCAACATTTTTCAACTGATCAGTAAGGGACTTGATACGTTGACAATATGTCGAAACATTCGGAAAATTCTCCATCTTAGTAGTGGAGAATTCGACCTTAAGGGTTACCACATGGGAATGTTTGTTGTCTTGGAAAATATCTCTCAATCTATTCCAAGCATCCATGGTCGTGGCATCGGGTTCAATAATTATATGCAACAGATCATTGGAGATGGTTGCATAAAGCCAGGAAAGAACCATAGCATCAAGAGTCGACCATAATTCTTTTTCATCCTCAGTCACAGGTACCTTCTCATTGTCATTGGCAGGAGGAATAATGTGATGAAGGACCTTATGAGAACATGCGATAATTTTAAAAACTTCCGCCCATGTAGAGTATTGGACATTCCCCATCTCAAGAGTGATGGAAATATGGTTCTGTATATTGGAAACCTTAAGAGCTGGATGGAAAGAACTCTTATTATCCGTCATGATGGTGAGAAGAAAAATAGATGAAGGGAAACGAAGAAGAACAAGAGTAATTGACCTAAAAATCTGATATCATAAAAGAATATTTTTCTCAATTGATCTCATTCACTTACTTGGAATAAATATAATATACAAGTCGTAATCTTAGAAAACTAATTAAGTAACTAATAATATCATGCATATATTTAGGAAACTAATTATAAACTAAATATATGTTTACCTAAAATATAATAACAAAATATATTTACATATATCTTAATAGGTGTCACTTCAAATCACTACCACCAAAGATTCTTTCCATTAGGAAAAGAATGACCATGTAAAGATTGAAGAAATTCATTGAATTGTTATAGAGAGAACCACACCAAAGGTCGATCAACATTCACTCTTGCTACGATTGAGAATTAATCTAATGGTATGTAAGTACATTGTTAGTGAGCTAACCAATGACGATACCAATAAAATGTTTGACATTTTCAAATCTGAGATATTTTCAATTAATATTGAGTTATTCATTCTATTTCAATCTCATTTATCTCGCCCCGAAATCATATTATTTCTTTCTTCACCTTCATATCAACCTCAACCATCATACCACTTTCAATATGAATCCTCTTATCATTTTTCACCATCATACAACCCACAAAATAATCCTTTACATTATGGTTCATGGGAATCAAACTTAGAAGCATACACACAACTTCTTAGAGGGTCAACCCAACTAACCCAACCATGGAAGAACATGACATTATAGGTCTTCCATCCGAAAGTTTTGATATTTTAGGAGTGATGTCTTTGTTGCTAGTGCAGATGAAGAAGGCAATGACAAACCAAAACCAAAACTAAACATCTAACCAGCCTAATTAACCTATAACCCACCATAACAATATTCAATTTCAATAGACCATAAATAACCTTAACCTAGAATTTGGTCATGTTTTGATTGAGATACACTTATCTACCTCTTAGAACATTATTCATTGGTCAATGCTTCAATACAAATCAATATGTCCAAGAAGCAATAAAAAAATTTCACATCATCCACCATCACACATATAATGTGTAAATTTCAAGTCAATTTAGGGAAGTAGTGCAATATGTTTATGCAAAGTGTGACTAAAGGTACAAAGTAATATTGTGGACTAGAAAATAATATTGGTAAATAGTGAAATTGAAAGGCATCCACATATGTGTTTCTATGTGAATCTCTCAAGATCATAACAAGTTAGGGTCGCATCTTATTTCTCAAATAGTCTAGGAGATTGTGGATACTGGTTGTTCAACCCCTATCTCAACAATAATTATCTATATGAAATCCACCCAAAGATAGACAGTTACATATGAGAAGCCATGACTAGACAAGTAATTAGCCATTAAGAAACTACATGGCAATTGGGAGGAGTCATACAACAAGATGTTCCATTTTCTTAAAATATAGAAGATAAACATTCATCCCGCATACCAAAGATAACAACTTGTTGAGGACCCTGTCTTCTTCAAAAGAGTGTTTTGGTCATTCAAACCTTGTATCAATGGTATTTAGTACTATAAGTCATTGGTGCAAGTGGACAAAATATTTCTAAATAGAAAATATAGAGGAACATTGTTAGTTGTAGTAACACAAGATATGCACAACAATATACTTTCAATAACCTTCACTATAGTGGAGGGGAAACAACTAATGTTTAGTCCTTCTTTTTGAGGAATCTCAGGAGATATGTCACCCAACAACCAGTATTTTGTCGCATTTGTAATTGTCACGATTTTATATGAAGTGGTTACTTAAGATAGGGAAATGATTGAGCGAAAACAATTTTATGCATGTGTACTATTTTAACACATTGCACAAAATTTCATAAGGAGGTTCAAAGAATCCCCTTAAGAAGGATGTTGTGAATATGGGTAAGTTGTATTCTTTTCTAAACTCATTAATTTGATGTAGTACTTAAGTAACTATTTACTTATCAATCTTCATTTGTTTTAAACAACATATGAAATTATTGAACTCATATTTTTTCTACTATTACAACATAGGTAGAAATAAATATTTGGAGACAGTACAATGGTTGGACCAAATCCTGTCTTGAATAAAATAAGGAATCCTCCTTAGTGACGTCAACTTACATCCATTGCAATAAGTTCTTCACTAAAATAGTTAGGGAGGTGGTCGTCATAATTGTTGTTGGACGCATATACTCATAACTTTGCAAAGTACATTAATCTTATATATACCTTACCATAAGTTGCTAAAATCTATAGCAAATTGTTCGAATAACTAAGAAAAGAATATTATTGGTATGAGTGTTAAAATAGACTTAACTTGATGGTCGATCCAAAAGACCTGAGAAATAAGCCAGATTAAATAAAAAAAATTGTGGTTTAAATTGAATCAAACCTATTTTGGTCGAACCTATTTAAGTAATGACTTACATGAGCTTAGGCCTAGTTAGCCTATAGGCTTATAGACTGATCCGTTTTATAGAATAATAATTATTTTTTAAATAAAAATAAAAGTAATATTATTTTATTAAAAATTATATATGAATTACAAGTTAATTTGACAAAGGATTCACTTTGTTCTAAGAGTAAATATCATAGTAATTCTCTAACAACCACTTATTTCAAAATCTAATGATTAAGATTAATTATTATTTTATATTAATAAATTACTTAAAAAATATATTATAATAATTGAATGAATACATTCTTTAATAATTTATAGATTAAGTCATTATATCTTAAATCAAAACTAATTTTATTAATATAATTTAAGTTTTAAAAATATATTTTATATTTTTATTTAAATATCTTTTTAATTAATTATTTTGGAATAAATATGTTAATATTTCTTTATTTTAAATTTAATTAGACCAAATTTATCTCTTTAGCCAGGTTGGTCGGTCTAACATAAGATTATGTTAAGTTAAAAATTTTGATCTATTTTAAAATATAGGTTGAATTTGATCATTAATTTTTTGTTACTTACTCCGTAGGACTAGGCTAGGCTAGACCGAAGTTAGGTCAACCATTTTGACAACTCTAATTATTTATCATCTTCTCACAATTTTTTAAGTCCAAATTTAGAAATAGAAAATCCAAATTCAAAAATAGAAATAACTTCAAAAGTTCATGGACCATCCTCATAATATTTAGTAAATAAATTTTCAATCATATATTCTTTTTTACTCTAATATTTATATATGAAACACCTTAATAATATTAATATAAAAATATAAAACAAGTTTAAATAATTAAAGAGTATTAATAATATTAATATAAAACAATATTAAATAACTTTATTACTTATTTATATATATAATTCTTTTTAAAAAATTATTTTCCTTTTTTTACTTATCTCATATTTATTTTACAATAAAATTAATGATTTATTAAATAAATTATATATATATATATATATATATATAAGGTAAAACAAAAGAAGTAAAAAACATTCCTAAAAAACTAAATTCTGACTGCTAAAAACTAAATTCTGATTGCTACACCTATGACGCGTCTTTATTCTGGCCGTGCATGATAAACATCTTTATTGTGATAAATAAAATTTTGGATATCTATTTAAATAATTGATTATTATTTTAATATTTTTTTGGAAATTTTTTTCCTATTTTTCTATTATTTACTTTTTTTTCATCATAACATATTAGATTTTGTGTTGAATAATGTAATTTGGTAATTAAGATTAGATAATCGATGGTGTAATTTTTATAGTGAAAACCAGTTTCGGTTATCATTAAAAGAATAATATTTTTTTAGAACCTCCGCGAAATAATTATTTATAGTAAATAATTTGTTTGTGATTTATCGAAAATTTACAAATAATAAATGAATATATTTTATAAAATAAATAAAATAAGCTGAAAATTTCTAATATAATGAAGTTAACTATATTCCCATGTTCGAAGAGCAATATGTTACAGGTAAATTAATAATCTCATATAACAATACTGAAATATTTATAATTCTTAACCAGATAATTTTTAATTAAACTACTTATATTAGTAATTAGATATTTGCATTTTATGTATAAGAACGAGTGAGTATTAATTATAATTCGTAACTTGTAATAAATTAGTATTAATCTTAAAAATACTCCTTGAATTGAATAAGATATTCTCAGGAGGGGACCGGGTTGCAATTCAGAAAAACCCACCAGAATTAATTAAAAGGGCCAATTTTTATTATTATTATGATAATATAATTAAAATGGAGGATGGAAAGTCAAAAGGGTGGGCATGAGCATCCAGTAAAACTGGAATTTTGGGATATAAATTAAAGAAAGAAAATGAATAATTGGATTGGGAGAGAGTGAAAATGGACTTGGAAGCAGTGAAGAGGTACTTGGAGAAGGGAGTGGGAACATCATCGGAGGTTGATGGGTTGCCACCCAGGTTTCTCGAACCCTTAATCATGAACTCCCTTAAGGTTGATCTCATCGAACCTGGTCGCCTCGTCTGTTCTATGAAGATACCACAACGTTTACTCGTCCGTGCACTCGCTCACGCCTTTTTTCTTCTTTTTTTTTTCTTTTTAAAAATTTTTCCTTTTTAATTGTTTTGTTGGTTTTTGTTTGCTTAGAATGCTGGCAATTCGTTGCACGGTGGCGCCACCGCTGCGCTGGTGGATATTGTGGGGTCCGCCGCGATTCCCACAGTTGGATACGCAGGTTCCAATACGGGGGTTTCCGTCGAGATTAATGTTTCCTACTTGGATGCTGCCTATGCCGATGTATCTCACTAACTATCTTTCTCTTTTGATTCATTGTCTGTGATTTGTTATAGTGATCCATTTACATGATAGATTGGTTTTTGTTCTTTGATTTCTCTGTCGAATGTAAATTCTCTTGTGGTGAATGAATCTCGAGAGTGAGAAGAACATTAGTTTAGTATGTATTCTTCTAATAGTTTTGAATTTCGGAGACTTTGATACTGATGACCTTAACTCAAGTTCTAGACTTGGCCACCTTAACTTCTTCTCCCAAGGGTTGGGATTGTTTTGTTTATTGAATTTTGTACCCAATAACTATTCAATGATGAACAGAAAAATAAAAATCTTTATTTCTGTGTTTTCTATGTTATAGTAGGTGGGGGGATGGGGGATGGTGGTGTGTATTGGAGAATTTGATTGGTTGACATGACATGTTCTTTGATTGATGATTTTATCCATACTACTGCTTTCATGTTTTGACATGATAGTATTAACAACAATCTGATTGATTAAACATATATTTGGAGGAGTGGAATGTAAGGAGTTGTTCTAATGCTTTCTGATAATGGATGCAATGCAAGAAGTATTTTTACTGCAATAATAATACTTTTGCATCGTAATGTTAGGAGGAGATTGAGATCGACGCCAGGACTCTGCGTGTAGGGAAGGCTGTTGCTGTTATAAGCGTAGAGTTTAAGAAGAAAAAAACTGGCAAAATTTTTGCCCAGGGGCGTCATACAAAATTTCTTCCTCCATCCAGCAAAATGTGAAGGATCAACTATGCACCCCAATAAATGGTTCAATTTCAATGTTGTCTCACCCTTATACAGAAAATAGATCTCGCTGTACTTCTGATTAAGTTTCCTCCATGTCATCCAGTAACTTCATTGCCTTGAATTTTCTGTACCAGCTCTTATTGTTGTACAGAGGCAATTCCTTGTTGTTAAATGATGATGCCATGTATTCTCGAAGTTGTTCTCTGTCTTTTGATTTTGAATTTTATCAATTATATGTATGTTTGACCTCTGGAATATAATTTTTACTTAAATCTTCAACTAATGATGGATTTCTAAATATTGGTTTTGATATCTTCTGAACCCCTTGGCCGATCTTATCAGAATTAGTGAGAGAAGGCTCGTTTTTTATTGGCCATCTCAGCAGTTGTATTCCACTTCTATTGCACTCCTTGTCTTTGCAACAGTTGTTTCCAATACAAGTAGCTCTTGCTAAGTTCACTCATCTGTGAAGAGACACCAGTTAATGAAATAGACATTTTCTTGTCATTGTTCTCACTCTTGTTTTCAGGTTCTAAAGCATAAATTTTTAATTGATTCTCATCCTAGCCACTCTTATCTCATCATGCTACGTGGAAAAGGTAAAGTGAAAATATAAAGCCGACCAATTATTTTCCGTTTGTAACCCATACTAGTACTGAAAGTCATTTCTGAACGATAGGTGGGATTCATTTATAAATGCAAGTTTTGGTCAGGCTACTCAATTTGTCCATAATAGTTACCAAAGTTTTCCTTGTCTAAATTTCATCACCAAGTAGTGTTGTTATTAAAGGTACAATGATTTAACTGGACCCATGTCCTACAATTCCCAGGGCATCTCTGAAATTGAGCGTGCTCCTCATGGTTCGCCTGCCGATTCCTCCATTGCCCTTTCTCATCATGGCAGCAAATTCCCCATAATCTATCTGTCCATCCTTCACAACAAATATTCCATTAACCCAACGAACAGGTTGCCAACTTTATAATCTAGTGTTGCAGAAACTTATGCCAATTACAAACAAGCTCTAGATTGCAAGCAAGAATACTTACGTTGTCTTCATTCGTTGACAATTTCATCGATATGGACATCCTCCAAACCAAAATCCTTACATCTCATCAATGGTTACGTAACCACTTCCATCTTTGTCAAAATAGGAGAAAGCTGACACCAGATTTTCCTCTATCACCAACTTATTTAAGTGGACCAAAGCAGCGATGAATTCACCTTAGTCAAGTGTCCCACTATTATCAGTATCTGCCTGTAACATGCAAGATTATAGATCTTGCTCAACAATTAATTATTGAAGGCAAAACAGCACAGATAACAAAAATAGGCTTAATCCATGAACGGAGACAAATGGTCTTACTGCATCCACAAGAACCTTGATTTCAGACTCCATTGGTTCAGATCCTACCCGCTTTAAGCCTTCTTTTAGCTCATCAAATGTTATAGTTCCACCTTTATCTGCATCAACCATCTTGAATGACTCCTTCAGACCACCAATTTCTTCCTATTTTTTCCTGAGAGCCTCTCCGCAATAACCTAGAAGTAAAGTATACAAATTCTAAATTTGACAGTATTAAGATTGACAAGCAGAAGACTAGCACTTCCAACTCCCATTCAAGATGAATTTCTGATAAAGTTCCAAAATCGAGCCATTAAGGATAAATTGAAGCATGTTACAGCAAATTGGCATTGATAAGAAAAAATCAATAAAAATGTGGACATAAAGAAACAGTTTTAGCAAATAATCATGCCAATTGTAAAACAAGGTCGTGTTCCTTCAGAACTGAAGCTCTGCACCCTTATATTCTAATTTTAAGGCTAATGCACAATATATATATATATATATATATATATATATATATATATATATATATATATATATATATATATATATATTGAAGCTGCCTTTGGTCCATATAGAAAACTCAGAAGATGATGGAGTTCATAACAGAAAACCAAAACTAACAGAAATCCAGCAGCATTTGTATTCGGGTTTTGTGTTCATATAAAAATATTCAGCAAGGATTAATAAGAATCAAAAGTAGAAATCGGCCTTGATATCAATAAAAACAAATGACAACTGCTGACAAAAGACAATAGGACAGAGTGTGGCTGTTCTACTTCATCCGAATAGCGATTCCTGGTTCTAATGTATGAATAAATGCCCTTGGTCTTGCCTTGGCGCTAAGAATAGTCAAGACCCTGAAAAAGTTATATATATATATATATCGAGAGAGAGAGAGAGAGAGAGAGAGAGAGAGAGAGAGAAAATCACTTCACAAAAATATTTTTAATAAATTTGTTAGCGTTTAAATAAATAAATTAATTGTTAGTTATTATCGTAATATTCTCTCTCAATCCAAATCATTCTTAATAATTTGCTCTCTATATAATAAATATAATTAAAAAGACAATGATAATTAATACAATCTTAACTTTTATAAATAATATATATTTATAAACAAATTTTTCTTTATCAAAATGTCAAATATTTTGAAATAGTGACTGAACTTCAAAAAAAATTGAGGTAGCCCAAAATAATCAAAGAAAAAATATTCTTAAAATAATTAATTATAAATGTTTTTCTATCAATTCTTCTTTCCATGAGGAGCATACTAAATCAAAAAAATAAAAATTAAAAAGATTTATACTAGTGTTGTACCGTAAAATAAAATTATGGCAACTCATACATCACATAAAAATGCCAAAATTTGAAGAAAATAAGGTACATATAAATATTAATTCTTGTTATGACACTAGTTGCACTACATTACTCTGCATGATAAATCTCTTTTTACACCAAAAGCCCAGCATAAAAAAGATAAAACAAGAAAGATCAAATAACACTACGAAAATTAAAATATTGAGTGTTAAATTATAAACTATCAAGAAGGTAATAACACTCGTCATGAGTAATGTTATATATCTCTCATTAAACCCACTAAACCCATTAAAAACAATAAGATCAAATCCATTTTTATATATCTCTCAAAACATATAAGATTCTGATTTCAATTCAACAAAAAATAGAATTGCACATTTTGTATTTTTGGGATTAAACTACAATCTGTGTCTAATAGCACTTGGAATAAGATTTATAAAGTTAGTGAAACTTCATTTACAGCATGCATGACTACTCAAACCAGCAATGGCTGCTTTTACAGAAAAGAATAATAAGTATTCTTATGTATCATCTAATGGCAATCTCAACAGGTTAAAATGCATCTTCTCAAACTACATATGTACTTTTATGATACATGGATGGACATGGCTCACACGGTATTCCAAAGCTGTCAACTTAAAACTAAGTTGTGCTCACAAGACATAGCAAGCATTATTTTAACCTTGCGAGAATTGATCCTAGGATTACTAGGTCAACCTCTGTCCCAGGGTAAGCGTTACAACCAGTACTAGTAGGCCAACAGGCTTGACTTTACATATAGTATATTTGTTATATAGAAGCACAAAGAAAACACCAAGCTATAATTAGCTACATTAGAACATTGTAAAATATGAATCCTGTATTTCTGCTTCGAACCAGCAATAAGCAGCGGGAAATAGATTGATCCAAATTAAAACAATGACTCCTCATCAATCAAGGGAGAGCTCAAATTTTGTTAAAACCAGAGCCATTGTTAACGCACACAATGATTTCACCTCCTGGTCAAATTGAGCGTCTTCACATCATCCTTAAATACGACCTCAATAACAATAACTGAGGCAATAACTAACCTTGAATTGATCTCATTCACGAGTAAACAACACAACCAACTCCGATTCTAACATTTCCCTAGATTGCAATAAGCACGAAACCCCAATCATGAATCAATTAGATCGGAACTTAACCTGGCTTATAAAACATAGACAAGCCAAAATACGTGGTTTTGAGCTTCGCATCTTCCTCTACAGTGTCGAAGGGAAAGTTCTCAGACTAGAGGTCCGTGTGCATGACACCAAGCTTAAATTGATCCAAGAGCAGCACAGATGCATCTTCAAGTTGCTTCACTAATGAATAGATTTTTCCTGCCCAAATCCCTGAGAAACTTAACTGAAACGTCTTTGTTGCCATCAAATTCGGACCAACGGAAACTATGTTTCTCACTCGAGCCAATCTGAATTCAAACACATACTTTTATCTCTCTCTATATACATGTTAATTAATTAATAGTGAATACATTGTCACTTCAAATTCAATAATCATATAAATGTTTGTTCAATGAAATAATTTATCTATTACAAATTAGGTTAGTCTACTCAGTTATAACGTGGTGAAGCATACAAGTATTTTTAATCCTATTGAAAGAAAAAATAATTTCTTGGCGGGTTGGGTCAATAAATACGTCAGTGATATGTCTTCACAATGCCATAACACATATCCAAGATTATGCTAAAACTCCACGCGATCGTTAACTAGTTGATTCCATGAATGTAGTGTACTGTAGAGAATGCTTCTTTGAGGGTGGGAACAGTCTCCAGCCACAAAAATGTTACTTGTTCTCTCTACTTCTATCCATCTACATCCAGCTGGCTTTTTCAAATCTTTGTTCCTCATCATTCTTCTGACTTCCATTACCCCATCCCATCTAGCATCTGCTGCGTACAAATTTGATATACTATATAGTTTCCTATGTTGTTAGCTTCAATTTTGAACAGTTGATTGCTACAACACACCCCAATTCTACTTCATGGTGGGTTTTGCAGGCACCAAGCAATGTCCCCCAAAGATTAGCATTAGCTTCAATTGGCAAACTGGTCACAAGAGAATATGCTTCACTAATGCCGCCACCACGAGCTAGGAGACCTACCACACAAGCATACTGCTCCACAGTAGGTTTCATACCATGAAATTTCTCTATTGAATAAAATATGTTCAGTCTTTCATCTACTCGACCAGCATGAACACAAGCAGATAATATGGAAGTAAAGATAATATGATCTGGCTGGATTCCGAACATGAGCATATGAGAAAAAATCTTCAGTGCTTCTTCACTCATACCATGCATAGCATACCCGCCAATCATAGCAGTAAACATAACCAGATCCTTATCGACACTCAATTTAAATATCGTGTATGCATGACCTATGAGGCCACATTTGGCATATGCATCGAAGAGGGCAGCTTCAAGGTGAAGATCCTTAAAACAAGACCAATAAATACCCATGACATTGGCTCAGCAAGTGTACTGAGGCCATTTGTGTGCAGACTGGAAGAAGGCTCATGATAGTGATCATATCGGGCCTCATCCCTCGGGCATGTAACATGTGGAACAATCTATGAGCTAGTTCAGGACAATCATTTTCTGTAAATACTCTAACCATAAGATTCCATGTGGTAAGGTCAGTCTCAGACATTCCACTAAATATTATATTTGCGTCATGATGTGATCCTAAACCTACATAACCGGATATCAGTAAATTGCATGTGACCAGATTCCTTGTTTCTGATAGATTCTGAAACACTTTGTTAGCATACTCCATGTTTCCACATTTGAAGTATGCATCAAGTATTGCATTCCCAACTGTTGCTGCAGTAACACTTAACAAAGATCCAGTTCTAATTGAATAATTATGTATTTCTTTAACCTTTTCTACTCTCAAAAGAGAGACACAAAATCGGATTATGGTCAGTATTGTAACTGAATCAGGTCTAATTCCGAGTTTAAGCATCCAATTTAACAAATTGATAAATCTTGAATGATGTCTCTTCTCTCCAAAGGCACCAAACATAGAATTCCGTAAAATCAAATCTTTCCTCAATATCATAAAAAAAAGTATGATATGCTTCTTCTGTATAGCCACATTTTGCATGAAACTAACTAAAGCATTTCCAACAGAAGTATCATAAAAAAGGAAAGGATGTCTGACAGTATAAGCATGGATTTGTTTCCCTACCTGCAAATTTTTCAATTGTGCACAAGCTAGAAGTATGCTGACCATGGTCACAGAATCTGGCAATAACGTCTCTAGAGATACTAAATTACCCAACAGATGCAATGCTTTTAACCATTCACCATTTGATGTATATCCTCCAACAATAGCATTCCATGTGACCAATTCCCTTGAATCCATAGTCCAAAACAAAGCTTCTGTTCCCTCCTTTATCCAAATTTTACGTAGAAGCTAATCAAGGCATTACACACAAAAACATCAGCTGACAATTCAGGCCACTGCTGCACTTAAGAGTGGATCTGCCTGCCACACCGGTATGCAACACTCTTATCATAGGAAGCACAAACAGGCAGAATATTTGCAACAGTCGCATAATTCGACTTCGTAGGCCCTTTCACCAATGAACTGAACAACAAGAATGCATCCTCCACTAATTCACTCTCAACTAAGCCCGCAATCATTGCACTCCACAAAACAACATCTTTGTGAACAATATCTTCAAAGACAGCATATGCATCACGAGACACCACCCCACACTTTGCATACATTGACACGAGAGCATTTCCACCAAGGGTGTCTTGTTGAAAACCAGACTTGAAAACATAACCATGCACACACAGTCCAGCATCCAGGTCCCCTAAACGAGCACAAACAGGAAGGACAATAGCAACGGAAATTGAATTCGGCATAGCCTCTCCACTGGAATGCATCATCTTAAACACTCTCATCACATCAGAATCACATTTGTTGGACCCTGAAAACCCAGACAAAACAATATTCCAAGTAACAGGATCACAGTGATTGAGTTCATCAAACAGCCTGAGGCAGTCATCAAGCATGCCACACTTGATATACATGTTGAGCAACCCTTGATTGGTAACCTGGCAAAAAACATGACCTTGTTTAACAACATAACTATGCAGAGATGTCCCCAATTTGGGAGCCAAAAGGGCAGAACAAGACTTGAGAATGGCAGCAAGGACAGTGTAATCTGGCTTGAAAGCCTCATAACCCTTTAAACAGCGGTGAAAAAGGGACAAGGCGTCGCTGTGTCTTGCATCTAAACACAAGCTCCGAACGATGGAACCCCATGTGCTGAAATCCCGTCCAAGCATAGTGTAATGTCAGACTACCGTGTGAAAATTGTATGATGTGTTCAAAGCTACGAAAAGCTCAACATCTGAGCTTTCTAGTTCCTCTATTTTGCACGGAAAAAGGAGAAGAAGGAAAATATGTCTGTTGGCATTTTCACAAACAGGGGGCGTGCAACGTGAATAATGGCAGTAATGAATTGAAGGAAATCGTCGCATCCTGCACATGAATCGTGTGAATCGCATCCTGCACATGAATCGTGTGAATTGTTTCTCACATATGAACCATTCGATTCATCGTGTTGCGCCTGGCCGTTATGGCTGCAGCGATGACTTCACAACCCAACCCTTAAACAACAGTGTTTTGTATTTTTATTTTAATTTTTAAGTGAAGAGAAAAAAAAAAAAAATAGTGTACAAGAAGAAATTTGAGAATATTATCACCAAAATAAAATGTCTGTGTAACGAGGACGTGGATCCATATAACATAATTTCCATCCAGAAATTCCTTACAAAAAAAAAATGTACCATTAGATATGTCCTATGTGCCTCCTTATCATTTAAACTGAATAACTCGATTTTTCATGAGAATGGTGCAATTATTTTTAGCAATTACCTACGCATTATCATATTTAATAGTGTAATTTCTCTTTTTTTTTTAATTTTAAGAAAGAATACTACGTAATATGATTATAATATAAATATACCTAATATTTTAATAATTATTATATTATATTAATAATAATATTTTTTATATTATTAATAAATTCCTTTTTCTTTTTCTCATTCACCGCATCCATCGATTAAATGTTTTTTGTTTTTTATCTATATCTATTTAATTTAGTGGGACAAGGCTCGTTTTTTATTAGCCATCTCAGCAGTTGTATTCCGCTTCCATTGCACTCCATGTCTATTTGCAACACTTGTTTCCAATGAACAAGTAGCTCTTGCAAAATTCACTCATCTGTGAATGAAATAGACATTTGCTTGTCATTGTTCTCACTCTTGTTTTCAGGTTCTAAAGCATAAAATCTTATTGATCCTCATTGTAGCCACTATTATCTCATCTTGCTACGTGTGGAAAAGGTAAAGTGAAAATACAAAGCCGACCAATTCTTTTCCTTTTCTAAACAACGCACGTACTGAAGCTCGTTTTTGAACCATGGGTCTATTCATTCATAAATTCAAGCTTTGGTCAGGCTACTCAAGATGCCCATAATAGTTACCAAAGTTTTCCTTGTTCAAAATTTCATCACCAACTAGTTATTAAAGGTACAACGATTTAATCGGACCCATGTTCTACAATGCCCAGGGCATCTCTAAAATTGAGCGTGCTCCTCATGGTTCGCCTGCCGATTCCTCCATTGCCCTTTCTCATCATGGCAGCAAATTCCCCATAATCTATCTGTCCATCCTGCACAACAAATATTCCATTCATCCAACCAACATGTTGCCAACTTTATAATCAAGTGTTTCAGACACTAATGTCAATTACAGACAAGCTCTAGATTGCAAGCAAGAATACTTACGTTGTCTTGATCAATTTCCTTGACAATTTCATCAATATGGACATCCTCCAAACCAAAATCCTTACAAGCCTGTTGTATCTCGTCAATGGTTATGTAACCACTTCCATCTTTGTCAAAATAGGAGAAAGCTGACATCAGATTTTCCTCTCTCTCCAACTTATTTAAGTGGACCGTAGCAGCAATGAATTCACCATAGTCAATCGTCCCACTATTATCAATATCTGCCTGTAACATCCAAGATTATAGATCTTGTTCAACAGTTAATTATTGAAGGCAAAACAGAAAAAACAACACAAAATTGATTAATCAAAGAACAAAAACAAATGGTCTTACTGCATCCATAAGATCCTTGATTTCAGACTCCATTAGTTCAGATCCTACCCGCTTTAAGCCTTCTTTTAGCTCGTCAAATGTTATAGTTCCGCTGTTATCTGCATCAATCATCTTGAATAACTCCTTCAGACCACCAATTTCTTCCTCAGACAGCCTTTCCGCAATAACCTAGAAGTAAAGTATACAAAATTGAAAACTTCACAGTATTAGGATTTGACATGCACAAGCCTATAGGAAACGGATCACTCTCAACTTCTCATTCAACACGAGTTTCTGATATTGTTCCAAAATCAAGCCATTCAGGCTTTCCAGATGATCAGGAAGCAACACCTTGCTATCACTTTAGCCAGTTATGGAACTTGAATAAAAAAAAATTGACGGAACCCAAAATAATAAAAGAAAAAAATATTCTTAAAATAATTAATTATAAATATTTTCCTATCAAATTCATCTTTCCATCAGATGCAGACTAAATAAATAAAAAATTTAAAAATTGAAACGATGTATGTAGGAAAAAAAATAAAATAATTACAACACATACAATATAAAAATGCCAAAATTTGAAGAAAATAGTATATATACAAATATTAGTTCTTGTTATGACACTAGTTGGACTACATTACTCTGCAGAAGATATCTCTTATTACACTAAATGCCCAGAACCAAAAAGAGAAAAAAAAAAATGAAAGATCAAATAGCACTACGAAAAATAAATATTGCGTGTTATATTATAAACTATCATTAGAAAAACTCGTTATATAGTATTTTCATAAAAATATAACAAATTTTTTTAAGTAATCACATAACATTAAATCGTATGTTCCTCTGTATTTATTTCTTTCACAACTATAAAAATTACACTTACTAAATACATCTACACCGAATATGATCAAATTACATTATGGTAACTCCAAAAGTTTTACAACATCTTTAATTATAATCTAATAGTATTATTTATATAATCAATTTAGTAATTTAAGTTACAGAATTTCATCTTCAATCATAAGATAAAATGATCCATTGCCAAGATCTCACTATGCTTCATTGCAAATGAAAATATCCATGGCCACGATGAGATAGTCATGATATTGTGAATTTTAATTAGTAAATTAAAAACTTAAAGCAAGCTATTCTCTAAAATTAGAAGTTAAGACAAATTATTTATAACATTAAAATAATAATAATAATAATAATAATAATAATGGATATCCATAATTTATAGAAAATGGCGGCATTCATTCATCTCTCCCTGCATAGTAACTCATTTTTATAATTTTCAAAAAGTTTGGGATTCTACCAAAAATGCATATAATTACCATTTCATGCTACAAGACACGACTGGGTATTCATAAGAGAATAAATTGTTTTTTAATGGTCAGCACTCAGCACACAGAAATCATTAGAGCCTATTAAAAAGGATTGCAGCCTTACACGCAAAGCCATCTTTTTAAGTTTATTCATTGCAGAGAACTGCTTCAGGCGTGATAAAACAGCAGAATCAAGAGGCTTATCTGGTGCAATGTTGTCATCAACAATCCATGGGTGACCTGACACAGAAAACCACACAAGTGCCACAAGTTTGAACCCCTCTCAATAGTTCTGCAAAATATTCATACAAATCATGCTAGATGCTTGCTCAATATAAAAGTTAAATAGACTCACAGAGTAATTTGTGAGCTGTAAGCCTTGTTTTTGGATTCCGATCAAGCATTTTTCTAATCAGATCCTTGGCACTGTCTGAAATACTGGGCCATGGCTCGGACTGGAAATCAAGTCTTCCTAGCAAAATCTGTCGGAAAATCCCCTGCTCAGTTTCTGGAGGTGACAAAATTTGCAGTAAGTATCAGTGATGATGAAGGATACACTTGAAGAAAACAATAACATGCCTACATCTACAAGTGATAATTTAACGTGCAAGTGAGTCATATAACTACCAGCCCAAAATGGTGGCACCCCACTTAATAAGATATACAAAATGACACCAGCACTCCAAACATCTGATTCAGGTCCATAATGCTTACGCAAGACCTCTGGTGCAACATAGTATGGGCTTCCAACAACGTCACAAAAGGTCTCACCTGAAAAGCACATCACAGTGTTAAGCATTCATAACATGGAAGGATTTCCACATGATCTGCTAATGAATGAAATGAAGGACGGTGGAAAATTCAACCTGTAACTACAAGACTGGACTGCATAACTTCAGATTTAATTTTGAACATTCACTATTAAAAGTCACCAGGACAAAAAAAAGTTTTACATTAAAAAATATTTAAATATATACGGTGCAAAGAAAAAGAAAAAGAATATATTTATATATATATATATATATATATAGAGAGAGAGAGAGAGAGAGAGAGAAAGGTTCTACATTAAACCCAATAGTTCATGTCTTACATATGACAGAAATAGGTCATTCACTATGCTTGTTTCAGTTTAGTACCCACTTGCTTTTTCATTTAGGCCAAGATCATTTCTAATATGGTATCAAAAGTTTGATGCTTACTTTCCCCATTCATCTAACACAAAGATGAATTTCGCACAGGGTAGGTAGGTGTGCCTGTGCAATATCCATGCTTCAACACCAAAGTGTTCGTGTGAGAGAGGATGTTATTGGTGTAATAAAATCACTCAACCCTCTTCACCTAAAAGCTTAAGCGTTCGGGATGGCTGGTTTTCGAAACAGTGACAAAGAAACTTTATTCCCTAGTGTTAGGAATCCAAGTGTGATTCTAAATCTCACATTGCGTAAGAATAAGAATTGTTACGTAGTGTCAATCCTTATGTGGGTTGGGCTCAAGTCTCATTGATATTATATCTCCCCAGTAAATCCCCTCGAAAGATCCAACAAGTGGTATCAGAATTGAAGGTTGATCGGCAGTAGGTCAGAGTGGTCTTTGTATCAAAAGTCTTCCTGACAAAGTGGGTCAGGTAAGCGTATCTCGTTAGAGTGAACGGCGGTACATGGAAGGACTAGAGTGAACGGCGGTACATGGAAGGGTTATTAGTGTGTTCGAGGGAATATACCAATGTGGAGGAATTCACACTTGAGGGGGAGATTGTTAGGAAATACAAGTGTAAGTCTAAGTCCCACGTTATGTAAGAATAAGAAAGTTGAACAACATATAAGAAAGTATGACCCATAACTCAATGTCTTAAGATTTTGGGTTGAGAGTGGTGTCAATCCCTTATGTGGGTTGGACCCATGTTTCATTGATGTTGTCTCTCCCAGGTAAATCTCCCTCCAAAGACCCAACACCTAAGGAGTAAAGGGCTCTTCGTGCATGAGAGATTGTGTTACAGATATAATACTAAATCATACGTCATTGAAAAGCTTTGAGATATAGCCTATTGCCTTTCTGGCTACATCTCCATTGAACCCAATAAAAATCAAATCCATTTTTATATAACTCTCAACATAAAAGATTGTGATTTCAATTCAAACTATGACACAAAAAATAAAATTAATCACATTTTGTATTTTGGGATTAAACAACAATCTGTCTCTAATATGACGTGGAATTTTCAAGTCATCCACTTGGAATCAGATTTAAAAAATTAGTGAAACTTCATTTACAGTATGTATTACTACTCAAACCAACAATTGCTGCTTTTACAGAAAAGAATACTAAATAGTCTTATATTATCATTTAGTGGCAATCTCAACAGGTTAAAATGCAAATTCTCAAATTTACATAGGTATTTTTTTGGTCCGTGGATGGAGATGGTTTCACATGGTATCCCAAAGCTAACAACTTAAAACTAATTTGAGCTCACAGGACACGGCTTCCGTTGACCACACATTATTTTAACATTGTGAGAATTGACCGTGGGATTACTAGGTCAACCTGTGTCCCAGGGTAGGCCTTACAACCAGTAGGCCAACAGGCCTGACTTTACATATAGTATAGTTGTTATGTAAGAGCACATAGCAAAACCCCAAGCTAGAATTAGCTACAGTAAAACCTTCTAAAATATGAATCCTCTATTTCTGCTTCAGACCAGCAATAAGCCGCGGGAAATAGATCGATCCAAATCAAAACAATGAATCAACATCAACCAAGGGAAAGATCAACAAATCGACAAGAAGCAAAAAATTAGTTCAAATTTTGTTCAAGTGCTTATTGAGGGTAAAACCAGAGTTATTGTTAATGCACACAAATGATTTCACTTCCAGGTTCAATTGAAAGCATTCACATTCATCCTTAAAAACGACCCGAATAGCAATAACTAATCTTAAATTGATCGCATTCAAAAGTAAAAAACACAACCAACTCCGATTCTAACATTTCCCAAGATCGCAACAAGCACCAAACCAGAACCATGAATCAATCAGATCGGAACCTAACCTGGCTTATAAAACACAGACAAGCCAAAATCGGTGGTTTTGAGCTTCGCATCTTCCTCAACAGTGTCGAAGAGAAAGTTCTCAGGTTTGAGGTCCCTATGCATGACTCCAAGCGAGTGACAAGCCTCGACAACCTCAACAATGGTCTTAATGAGCTTTGCGGCCTGGCGCTCACTGTAGTGACCCTTCTGAACGATCCTGTCGAAGAGCTCGCCGCCCTCGCAGAGCTCCATGACGAGGTGGACGGAGGAGGAGTCCTCGTAGGTGCCGTGGATCCTGACGACGTTGGGGTGTTCAGAGAGGTGGTGCATTATCTGAATCTCCCTCCAAACGTCGTCGTAGTCCTCCTTGCAGAGAAGCTTGCGCTTGGGGATTGACTTGCAGGCGAAGGTGCGGCCCGTGGCGTTGTGCGTGCAGAGGAAGGTGGTGCCAAATTGGCCCTGGCCCAGCTTCCGGCCCAGCGTGTACACCTCGCGCAGGTTCTCCGTAGCGTACGGGAGGACCCACGCGGGCTTCGGTGCGGCCGCGGGAGGGCCCGTTTGGGACTTCGACATTGCTAAGACTGTGCGTCTGTGTCGGGGAGAGACGGAGTCAGAGTGAGAAAAAGAGAAACCAACGAAGAAAAGAAGACCCGGTAAAAATTGAAAATAAACTAAAACAATTAGTGTGTGCTTTGTCCTGTCACTTCAAGTCTTGCGAGTTAAGATACGCTACGCTCGTGTTTTTATACTACTTCTTTGTCAGAACTCACCAACTTTCAGGTCTGAGGAAAATATAAAATACACTATTATTTTTATTTTTATTTTTTCTTCTTCTTCTTTTGATACCTGACGTATTTACCTTAATTATCTTGATTAATATAAAATATAAAATGTGTATTTTAAGTTTGTATTTATGCTTTTATGATTTTTTATTGTTTTTCTAAAGAAAAAAATATTATAATTGGTTTGTTGATTTTAATAAATACTTAAAATTCACCAAAATTTTTAAAACTAATTAACATGGAATATTTTATGTGATATAAAAATTAAAAGTTTTATCCATTAAATTAAAAAAATATATAAATAGAAAATTTAAATTATTTTAATTTTTTTCATTAAATCACTATTTTTTATAATTTTTTTTTAGATTTTTCTCTAACTTTATTATTTCTCAGTTTTTTAAAATCTAAGTATATCTTATAGTTTTTAGACCTATCATACTTTTAGATAAAGTACAATTTTCTTTATCTAATTTTAAAATATTTATACAAATTATGATATGATTTAGATGTGGTTTAAGGTTATTGCATGTGGACTTTGTGGGATAAAGATGAATATTAGTTAGTTTATGAATATTATGATATGTTCAATTTGTTAATTGGAGTTTTCTAAAAGCAGGATTTAACTTTATGTGAGTTTATGATGTTTTAGAATATTTGAATCAAAAGTTGTAAAATTAAATAAAAGAAATTAATAGTAAATTCCTTAACACTCTGGAATAAATGACTTTGTCACATTGTTTGAGTTGCAAGAAATTAATTGTTGATGTTATAATATAAATTGTAATTGTATGTGTTGACTTAGATTAGTGATATGGTAAAGAATGTGCGGAATGTTAGGGTAGGATAATTATATTTAAACTAAGTATAACATGCTTTAAAAATTGTGTAATAAAGGCTCATAGGATTGTGTATGGTGCTTGAAAACTAGTTTGTGATATATTTGTGTAGGTTTGTTTATCTATATATTTTGTTTAAATGACAATTTATCGCTTAAGCAAAATATATAAGGGTTATTTTCGAGAGTATTTTTGTTCAAAGGATAAAATTCTTTCTCAAGCAAAAATGGTTCTTAATGAGAGACTTGTTTCATTTTCATTTTCACTCAATCGAAAAATATTGTGCTCAAGCGAAAAATTACTAGTGAAATGAGGTTTGTTCATGATGTATTTTCGTTCAAACGAAAATTATCACTTAAGCAAAAGTTTCGCATAAAACGCCAAAAAATAAGGTGGTTTTCTGGGAAATTTCCACCTATACGAAAATTATTTGTTTTAAAACTTAAAAATGATGAATTTTGGAAATATAATATAATTTGGTTGATGGGTTGAGTATATATGACTTAAGATGTTAAAATATTTGTTGTGAACTGTAAATATTGTATTATGAGAGTTACTAAGTGATGTCCTCATATATATCATGTAATGTATATGAATATTGTTTTGGGACTTGAAGAGATATTATGACTCTATTGGTCATTAGAATAACATGCATAAAAGAATTAGGTGAGAGTTGAAAAAAGGATATTAAAAAAATTATATATTAATAAATTATTTAGAAATTCACTTTAATTATATGCAAGTGTATTTATCCTATTGAATACTTTATGTTAAACATTTGGAGAGAGGTAATATACTAAGTACATCTAATTTAATATTTAATTTTCTAAGTATTTATGTAATATAATAATGGAATTTGATATATGAATCCTTATGTTTGAATTATGTTTTTTTATAATATATTTTAAAATTTAAATGTTTTAGCTTATCTTTAGCATTATTGTTTTAAATTATATTATTTTATAACATATTAAAATTTAAATGCTTATTTTGAGCTATTAGCATTATTGTTAGTGTTGTTTTTAAACTTTGACATTCATAGGTGATACACGGGAATAAAAAAATACAAGTGTTAAGTCTCTCTAGAACTAAAATATAGATAAACAAATTTATTTACTTATATTTTAGATTTAAAAGATTTTATATAAAATATATTTTTTCTTATAAAGAAAGAATTTATAATTTTAGCAATCTATATCTATGAAAATTATATATTAATATTTATCCTTGAAATACGAGATATTCATTCCTTCTTATACATTTAAAATTGTGAGTGTAATTTTTCTGAAGATATATTTTCATAACCTTCTAAAAATAAGAATATTTATTTATTCTCATATTTAAAAAATGAAATAAGATTATGAACAAAATATCATCCTATGTTAGTATATACTGCATTATAAAATTAATTGTGAGATTATGAAGATTATATATTTTTCCTTAACTCAGTTAAAAGTTAAGTTACAGAATCATATTTATTATACCATGATGATGATATATCACTATTTTTCATGCGAATATGGTATATACATGTGTTGTATATTATATATTAAGGGTGGGTTGAACACAGGTAAGAAATTATATATTTTTAAAAAATTCATTTTATTTGTAGGTTTTGTTAAGATAAAGTCAAGTATTGAACATCATTAGTATTCAGCAATGTTCTATTTCTATGCACAAAAATTCAAATTAGTTATTTAACATTTAAATTTCTTCTACAAAAAATTAACACATACCAATAAATAAAAAATATTGAGTTATAGACTCCATTTTTTAAAGAATTTCATGAAATTAAAAACAATAGTATTATGTAACCTGAATATTAATATGTTTAACATGTAAAAAGATGAAAAAGTGGGTCCATGAGGGAAAATTACATTAAATATAAAAGATAATAGAATTTGAAAGGTTGAGAAAAAATAACACACAAAACACTGGAATATGTGATGCAGTGGTCTTTCGTCAGTATTTTTTAAATTATTTATTTTCAGTTTAAAATATTATTATTGAAATTTTTGTCTCTGGAAAAATTAACACTTTTTTTTTGTCTTCTATAATAATGATAATGGTATCTAATACCTTTTTTTATTAATCTTCTTTTAGTTTTAGTTTTTTTTTAAGTACACTTTTTGTCTTGTAGTTTCTGTTAAACACACCACGGATCTCTTTGTTACTGTTTATTTATTTATTTTTGCCTAAAAGGAGAGTAAATTAAAAATATTTTAAGTTAAAATTGTTAATAAAATATAAAAATAAATAAAAGACTAATGGTACGAGATGATTCGATAATAAAAATATTTCTATGAATAGCTTGTTTAAAAAAATATAAAAATGAGGTATCAAATGATGAAATCATTATTTTTTTTAAAAGGACTAAACACTTAGTTAAGTCTAATATAATTTAAAGCCATTAACTATAACATTAGACGCATAATTTCCTTAACCAGTAAAAATTATAGGAATAAAAGTTTTCCGGAAAAAAAATATGAGATTTCTAAAATTATTATAAATTGTTTTACTTAAAGAAAATAATATTTTTTTACCGGTTGAAGTTTGTAACATCCCTATATAACTTACACTAAAAATATAAAACTAAATCATACAAAATATAAATATTTATAATATTTGAATCAAAAATTAAAAAAAAAATACCATCCTTACATAAAAATTTATATACATATTTTAATCAAAATATCTAAATATAAAATTTTTATTATTCTCCCTTAACAACTTAAAATGTTGAAACTGATCATCCGACACATTTTTTGTTCACGTGTTGTCATGATGGTAGCAGTTCAAATAAAAAATTATTATATAATTCTATTATGTAAAGATATAAACAAGAAATCGAGTAACTCATTTTCAACCTATAAACTACCTACACTTATAAACATGACAAAGATACTTATTATATTGTTGGTTACTGAATTTGACTAAAAAATCTATAGTTTTTATATCATTTTTGTTAAGTAAATATCTTAAATTTAAGTACATTCTTGTCACTTATTAGACATAATTATTTTGTTCACATTATAAACTAAAAAACTCATTCAATTCTTAGTACCATTTATATTTCTTTGATCAACTTGAGTATTACTAAAATTAAGATATCATTTTCAAAATTATAAATTCAATATATTTATTTTTTTCATTCAAACTAGGGATGACAATTAAACCCGTACTCGTAGAAACCGACTCATCCTTGTCCCGAGTTTGACAAGAAAAACTCGAGTTGACCGGGGTGGCTTCGAGTTTTCCTCGTTTTAAAAAGTCGAAGGCGGGAGCGAGGATGAGTAATGCAATCTCCATCCCGACCCCGACTACGTCTCCGCCCGACTTTATATTTAAATTTTAAAATATTAATATTTTAAAAGTATTTCTTTTTCTTTTTCTATTACATATAAAGTCATTTTTTTATATTTCACCAATTTTTTTTCTTCTACCCACTTTTTAATTTTTTTGTCTTTTTTAATCTTTTATATCAATTAATTTATTACATTATTCTTTCTCTTACCTTTCAGTTTTTCACATTTCCCTAATATCTCCCATTAATTTTTTTTTCAATCTTTTCAACCAATTTGATGAATACAAAGTTTATTTTTTTATTCTTTATCCTTTTCTAAATATTTTACATAAATTTTAGTAGTAACTAATATTATTTTATTTATAATTTATATTTATTAGGTTTTATTATGTCATATTTTTTATCTTATTATTCTTATTTATCATTTTATCTTAATAAAATAATTGTATTTTAAAGGATTAAAGGAATTGATAATTTAAACTTGTATTACTTCGAACTAATTGAATAAGAATTAACTTATTAAACATTTCCTTATAAATTATATCTTTCATATTTTTAAATGACAACTTAAAAATGTATTAATTTATATATAAAATCAAATGTTTGAATACAATATTATAATAATAATGTTATAAATATTCAAATATTTGA